GCTGTCAAAATAAGACGTGTTGCAGAAGTGCACTGTAAAACATCAGACAGGAAAACACAAACTCCTCTGACTAGAAATTATGATTAGAATGAATGCACCACTGAGATTTCATTAATCTCATTAAATTAAGTTTCTAAGGAGTCATTAGACTTTGGTGTAATGGTGTAAATCAAATTTCTTAACTCAGCAAAACAGTGGGCCTCCTGAGGTAGTTTAGGACCACTTCTATTTTTGGCTTGTAGTGTTTTACTCTGCTACCCAGCAATTAATCATAAATATTTTCTAGGGCTGACATGATTCCTTGAGAAACTTGGGTAACTTAATGACTAAAATTTAATTCCACCTATCTCTATACAACACATTATTTCACACAGATGATTATTACTGTCACACAACGTGTTTGCACTGTGGACAGGCAACATGATGACATGGAATTGCAAAATGGAAGAAGCGAAGAGAAAACACAGGCCAGAGAAAACAACAAAGTGTCTTACGTTTGGGATCCTGTTAAGCTGAAGCAAAATGAAAACTGCAGCGCGTCCAGTGCTGGCAAACTGCATCTCCGAAGTCGCATGCAGCTCTTGAGCCCCTCTCCAATGGCTCCCTGTGTCTCTGACCAAAAATTAGGCTTCATGGAAATGAATCATGGTAATTTTTGAACATTTTAATTTTAATTTATCATTGTTGTGGTTCTTGGGATTCTTACATTATCCAATTGTAAAAATATTTAACCTATAGGCCCACAAATTTAAAAAAAATGTTTTAACATTTCATCAACTAAAATGTGAGTCATAGCTTTGTCTACAGCCTGGCGCCTTTTGTCTATATTTTGCTGAACATCAAGAGCAGGGGCTCATCTTGAGTCTCCTTAGAGAGGCTAGCTATGGATTCAAAATCCAGACAGGAAAAGTCTTGGAGGAAAATATTAAATTTAATAGTGCATAGACAGATCACTGCAAGGTACCAAATATTCCTAAACACCTTACAGCAGAGTAGCCACCCAATGGTAAAACATAATAATGATTACACTTATTAGTAATGTTGATAAGCTAATTCAGACTTAATAAGGCTGTGTTACCTTTATTAAGGCTCAAATGTATTTTATGGCTCCAGACAGATTTAACTTATTTTTTTGGACCAAAAATTACTCTTCTGGTAGTACAGGTTGCTGACCCCTGGTGCGATGTAAAGCCAAACTAGCCTTCCACAATAGCACAATGTCAATGCCTGAGTGTCTCAGCAGAAATCATCCAGTCTATGCATCCAGTCCGTGAAGCTGACCTGAAACAAGGTTAACATTAACATAGCATATAATGTAAATCAATATTATTGTGGTTGCTAGTTGAGATGAAGGTCCCTAAGCGCTGAAGGCTGCACCGACTGAATTTGAACTGCTACAAGCACTATCTGAAGGTCTGTCCCCGCAGTTGGCATCCACTTTCCTCCCAGCAAAGTAGTCTTCAAGTGACATGGAATGAGACAATTACTATGATGACACACACACACACACACACACACACACACACACACACACACACACACACGGGAGACCTCTTATTTTCTCTTTTGTATATTTACTTTTGCTCTTCAATAAAAGTAGGCTATTTCTTACCTGAATACCCAATTAATCAGTGGAATAATTGGTAGCATACTCGATTATAAAAAGAACTGATAGCTGCAGCCCTGGTATTTTCACAAATGCAATCACTGATTGATCCCTGATAGTTTCATCATTTTCCTTGTGAAAGTGTTCATCCTTTTTTTTTTAAATTTATTTTTAGGGCTTTTTGCCTTTATTATATTGCAGCTGGAAAGAGACAGAACAACAGGTACTGAGAGAGGGGGAACAACTGGCAGTAAAGGGCCACAGGTTGGTACTGCGCCTGTGCCACTGCAAAGGCCTAAGCCTAGTTGGCCAAACATCCTGCCAGGTGAGCTGAAGTCACCCAGATGTAAGGGTCTATTCTGAGGTTGTATTGTTGAGTCTCTTTTGTTGTTGAGTCGATTACCATTATTTTTCCTTTGTTTTGTCTTGGTTTCTGTTTTTGGTGAGTGTATATTTTAGGACCTTCTTGAAAACAAATGATACACCTCGAGGGGTTTATCCTGATATAAAACAACTAAAGAAAACAAACATAATCAGAAGTTGCTGTGTGTCCTTAATACACGCTAAGTCATTTCATGGTTATTTCCTGCGATAATATCAAAAAAACAGTTCTATCCGTGATGATGGTAAGTATTCACTTCAGTCCCTAACCCCATAAACCTCTAAGTTAACAAATACTCACATGTTTTTATTGTAGCGCTGGTACAGAAGTGTCTCTAACAAGGACAGCCAACGCTGTGAGGACTTTGTGGGAAATGAAGAACAGACCCTTTGTACTGAGAGTGTGTAAGTGGAACGCAGTGTGGCCTGAACTGAACATGTTTAGTTCATTGTACTTAGCTAAGCTTTCTTTACACTTTGTTTGGATAAATAATGAATCACTTTGCTGATGTGAATAGTTTTGTTCATTAGGCTACAGTACAAAGACTCATAATCACAGACCATGTAATTTGTTCCCTTTGTGTGTGTAATTACATTACTAAATGCACTTTACTACGTACATCGATGAATGAACACAGCAGAGTTCATACGACTGCAACGTTCAGCACTGATTTTGACTGTCTTCAGTTCAGTTTTAATGTTCAGTCTGTTGCTGCTTGAAGCTGTTCAGTTTTACAAAAGCAAGGTGGCCGACAAGCGCTGTGCCTAAAGGTGGTTTCAGACAGCGAGCAGGTGCCATCACAATCGGCAACAAAAGCTCCTAGCTAACTCTGATAACTGCTGTTTTTTTCTTTTTTTCTTTTTGGTAGTATAATCTCATCACAGAGTGAAATAGAGCAGGTTGTAGCTTAATATAGAGGAAATTATTAATTGTTGATAATTGTTAATATAACAAGTTTTGCTTTAAAAATGTTTGGAAATTGTCTGGATTAACAAACTAACCTTACTTACTCCAATACCACTTCTCTCACTTCTCTCACTGATCTGTTCGTTCTCTGCTGGTGAAGAATTGTATAAAAATTAAAATAGAGATATTACAAATTAGCAATAAAGTCGTAACCTTGCAAGATGCAGTCACGCAAATTTTACATGTGTGTAGTTGAGGTCAAAATGAAGGTCAAGTTTGAAGATGGGTGTGGTCCGTGCAAGGGCGTTGGAAGTAGGGAAAGGGCCATTGGCCCCTGACTTTAAGCCCCTGGCTGACATTCGCTTTAAATTACAAATCGTTTGTTGTGACTGGAGTGATCTCATCACAAGATGGTCTCTAGTTCCTGCAGTTTTTTTTAATTAAGCTTTTGACCAGGATTTAATGAACCTTTTATCACTGCTAAGGTTCACAGCGGTGCTCTCAGTCTCAAGTGAGGGGAGCCCCACTGCTAAAAACTCAAACTCAGTCTCACTCCGAAGTCATCGATATCTGGCGCTTGGGCAGTGACTTGGGGTGTCAGACACTAATGAACAAAGCTGTCCTTTCACGTCGGAATGAAACGCAGTCAGTTGCCATTTTAGTTTTACGGCACTCGGTGGCTTCGGTGGAAACATGGTGGGACAAGAACAAAAGATAAGGCGAGGAAAGTCCGAGTGGGGCATGTGGGAAGGGTGGTCGATGGGTCCAACGAACACTGACTTTCACCTGGGAAAGTAATGTTTGCATTCCATAAGATTATAAAGCCAAACCCTGTTTTTTTTTCCTTAACTCAACCACATTAGGAAAAAAAAGTCAATTTGCAGTGTTGTATCAACGTAGTGCATTTATTTTGAAAGAGACTGTATGTAAATGTTAAATTTCCTGTGAAAACGCAAGTATATTTTGAAAGAAGACAATGCATGTAACAGGCAGAACTTGACACAGCGTCCCAGAACATCAACAACCAACACACCCAGGGTATCCTGCACGTCATCTCTGGACGTGGAAAGTCCATGACCAAACGTCAATATGTGACGAGGTCAGAGTGAGAACGTGTTTCAAAAACTGCTGATTCATTCATTGCTAAAGGTGAATCAGTGTTAGTCAGTTTGAAGATTTGTTGTTCCAAGCTCTGAACGCCTCTGTTTTTCCTCAGTTTAACCAGCTCACAATATTTTACAGTGCACAGGCCCACAACGCCTCAATCCACAAATCATTATTCATTTCAAAAAATCTTTTAAATCCCACATTTCCACCTTCCAAGACTCCCAGACCAGAAAATGTGTCTGGCCTGGACCAATAACCACAGATCTCTGTGCTTGTGCTGCACACACAACCACAGTCCTCTAACAGAAGAAGTGGCTCAGACCTGTTTGAATTAAACTAAACAGTGATGTCTTGTCACGCTGAATGTATAGCACACCTACAGCTACCGAGTGGATATGAGAAATCTACAGAGTTAAAGATGCATGTTCTCTCCGAGGTAAACGAAATCCCCAAATGAAACAGAGGAGGAGAGAAATTGTGTGTGACAGACAAATGGATCTTTCCCTCTCGGTGAATCAGATTTCTGGAGGAGGAGGAGGAGGAGGAGGAGGAGGGGATGCATTGGTGGCTCCCCTGGCCTACTTTCCTCCATTCACCAGCCAGCACATCCTCCTGGGAACACTGGAGGTATACAGTATAAGGAGGCAGTTCAGCCATGCTTGGCTTGTCGCCGCAAGACAGCAAAGAAATGGCTGCACTCAGGGGGGTTAGCAGGATGGGGGGGAGAGTCAGTCAGCACACTTACTGTACATAAAGAGGGAGAAAGGGCAAAAATGGTCCAGTCATTCCTTATTTCGATCTTTACGCTCTCCATTTCCTCTCGCTCTACATCTTCGGTGTGTCTTATGTGTGTTTGCTCACTGCTTGGTTAAACTCAGGCCCAGCAGATGTTTTCTGTTGTGCCTGAATTCCTGAAAAAAGAATAAAATATCAGATTGACATACATCTCTACACTCTTCCCCCCCACTCTCCCTCTCCTGCTCTCTCCTGTATCCCCAGGCTGCTGTCACTGGCTGAGCTACAGCAGGTAGACACCCGTAATTATTAAGGTGGAGGAAAACCTCACACTAAAGTGCCTACAGGTGTTTTTAATGCAGGGGAATGCACACAGAAACAAAGGAAAGGTAAAAACGAAACAGCACAACGCAGTCTCAACACAGAAACACACGTCTAAAAGCTTTCTTATTTCAGATTAAGCATGTTAATACTCCTCTTTACGCCTCTTCCTACAGATTTGTCCAATTATTCCTCTTAACAGCGTCGGGGGCTTGTTGCTAGGTTACAGCCAGGTAACGCACACCATTACCACAGGAGTTGCTGAGATGAAGATGTTTCCAAATAAAGACGATTCAGTACCTTCAAGCTTAAGAGTGTCAATTCTATTGTCACCTTCCTCTACCCTCTCGTCTCTGCCAGCTTGGCCATGTGACAGACACAGACAGGCTCACTTAGCCAGATGGAGATGCATGAATTCACAGATGATCTCATGTGAAAGCACGCTGATTTTAAATGGTGTATCAGTCAAATTCTTTGGGGGGTGAAATGTTTGCCATTTGCCTCACAAGGATGGTTTCTGCTTAAATATCTGTGTTGATGAGAACTATTTTCCAAAAGGTTTCGCCTCAGGATGAATACATGTTGAAGTTCTGGAAAACAGAATTATGAGTCAGGCTATCAAATGGAAAATTAAAGACAGCGAAGCCTATTCAGTGGCAGTGCAACCAAATGTGTGTGTGGTTCTGCTACAGGGCACACAGGCGATGAGTCTTACCCGTCTACACCCAGTCTCACAGTTTTGATCCTGGTCCCAGAGTCATACAGGGGGCAGGAAGCCATGAGACATGATGGCATGTTTTTCCCCTGGGAGCTGGCTGATGCCCCCTGACAGATTGAGGCTGCATGGGTGTGTTTGACATCTTCCTGCACGCATCTGTGTTTGTGTACGTCTGCGTGTGTCTTAGGGACGTTGCGTTTATCAGAATAATGGCAGGCAAATCGCACAGTTGGGGACAAAACCTCTACGGCTTTGTTTGTTTGTTCAAGCAAATTAAATAAGAATTCTAAAATAAATGAATCATAAAAAGCAATCATCAGTGTTTTGTGACTGATCCTCCTACTGCGATTTCTGCTCTATTTATCTTTTTAAAGTTGCCAAATAACTTTTAATTGCCTTTTTGTGAGGGTGGGCCTAATCCGAACAGTTTATGTTCAGTCACTGAGTTTGTCTCTGATGCACACTATAAATTTACATCTAAATAAAGACAAGTTTTGGTTTTACAGGGAGTAACATGTTGGGACTACATCTTCTTTAACTGCAATTTTGGAACCCATCGACTATCAGTCTGATGACGATGGCCAGTATTTCAAATTTTGGTGTAGCCAGCGGATACCTAGGCCAAGACTTCCTCTTTCATGCACTGGTCATTGTTTACAGCCTAAAGATTCACAACCTGAGATGCTATATGAAGGGAGTCATGATGTTTTATCACTGTCATTGTCCCGGATGTGGGAGGACATTGTTTGTTTGCTGCTTCTCCACCTGAATTCAATTCCTTAACTGTCTTAGTGTAGCCTAGCACTTTGGCTGGCTGTGTCTATTCTAAAGTTTTAACTCAGCTGTATTCACAAACTTCTGTGTGGATTCTGCTGTTTTGCTATAAACACAATTCTGCATAAGAGTGCAGATGCATTAAAAAGGAAGCTAATAAAAAATGAAATATTGACCTGATTGGTCACTCTGACTTCACACGGATTAAAAACGGAAACCAGAATGCTTCCAATACCAAAATCTTGTCCTGTTGCCTTGAGATTCTGCCTACGTATACAGGTGCCTGTTCATAGAGACTAGCCAAACTGCAACTAGACACAGTGACTTTAAGGGTCCTGACACACCAATGTTGGGCTGTTGGAGAGCGTCTGTCACCCAAGTTTTTGCGGTGTGTCCCACACTGTTGGCACTGGTTGGCCCTTGATGGCTTTTTTCGGCTGATTCAGTGTGTAGAATTGTGTAGGAGCTGGCAGAGCCTATGGGTGAATGACGCCACTCTGATTGGCAGTTCAACTCAATGCAGGTGAAGAGAAATGGAGGTAAGAAAAGCAAACAAAGTCAAGATGGTGTAAGACTGAAAGAAACTTGTTATCATATGTTAGATGTTTTAGCCATTGAGCTCTTGTGCAGAAACAGTTGGTGACTGTTTGTGTTATGTTAGGTAGCGACAAACGATAAATATCCTTTGCTCAGGCAACATTGAGTTGTGTTGTTAATGTGCTAGCTGGCTAACTAGTGTCCTAAACACATCTTGTTAGTCTTCCGATTTCCCTTTGTGAATGACAAATACTGACAACAGCTGCCTGCTGCTATGGAGAGTTATTTCCTCTCGCGAGGGAGCAGAATGTATGTGCTAGTTGGCCCTTAGCTGTAGTCTTTGCGTGTGTTCGGGTGGAACTTTCTGGCCAAGACACAGGGGAAATGGGGCGCTGCAACAGTTGGCCTTCATCACCACTAGTTCTTTGATGTTGGTTAAGTGTGACTGGGCCTTAAGTCTTGTCGTTGCTGTGAGGTTGCCAGGCAACCAGTGGAGACTCCAAGAAGTCACAATATGTCTGGATGCTGGTTTTAATGCTTAAAACTAAGTTTAATTGTCTTCTGACTCTAGCTACATACAACGCTACAGCTGAAACAGAAAATTAATGAGCAAATATTTTAATAATCACCTAATATTTTTCAAGTAAAAATACCAAACGTTCACTAGTGTGTGATGATTTGCTGTTTTTCACTGGTTTTCATCATGGTGAGTTGAGTATTTTATGGTTTTGAACTGTTGGTTTGACAAAAGAAGAACTGAATGTTTTGACAGCCAATTTTCACCATTTTCTTATAGACTAATTGATTGATTGATCAGTTGACAAAATTATGAGAAGATTATTTGATAATGTAAAGAATAGTTTGTTGCAGTTGTACTTGAGACGACATGAGCGTGGGATCAGTCCTTTCATCCAGATCCCAGCAAGCATGGGTGTAGGTTTCATTTCAACATTGGTGGGGACACATATGAAACAGGGGATTGAGGGGTCCTCTGCTGGAAAATTTAAGCAGCAAACACTTAATTTTCTGCATTCTGGTGAATTTTTATGGAATAATTTGTGCCTTTTCTGCATTTATGGTGGAAATTTCTTGAATTTTGACAAAATAAAAGTCCTCTGCTTCCTTCATGTTTTTATTGGGGGGGACAAATGCACATAATCTACATATTGAGGGGGACGTGTCCGACTGTGTCCCTTCTGAAATCTGCACCTATGCCAGCAAGAAAGTAAATAAGCACATGTCCCAAAATTCCACACTATTCTCTTACTCGACACACTATGCATGTCAGAGTGAACACAAAAGAAGCGGCACAGTTGCAACAGAAAAAGGAGCTTTTATGCCATTTTAAACCTGCACAGCATAAACCATGTTTCATCATGAGGCAAAGACAGTTTTATCTCTGTGCAACAACCACAGAACGGTGAAATTACATTGTGTGTTTACGGGAACTAACATTTACATATTAAAAAAACATTTAAGGACAAAACAATCCAGCATCACATCACCACAAAAATGCAAATATTAAATTACTTCTATGCTGTTGCCGGGGAAATTCCTTAAGACTACATCTCCTGTGTGTGTATGTGCGTGTGTGTGTGCGTGTGTGTGTGTGTGTGTGTGTGTGTGTGTGCAACAATGAGGCCTACTTTGTGCGAGCTTGTGAAGCATGTCTGCAGCCTGTTTAATGAGATAGCATGTGGTATGATGCTATGTGTGTGAAATTGAAGCGCGGGCTGTGTAAATTGAATTAAATGGGTTTGTGTGCGATAAGAATGTGCATGTGAGGAACGGCCTGTAAGCTAGCACAGTCCGCCTATCACTGTGCGTGTGTGTTATGTGATTAACATGGACACAAGAGTAAATTTTTATTGCCGGCAGCTTGGATGATGGTGGAGGAACAAGTAGACTGTTCACCGAAACATGCCAGAAAAAAAATGGGTTTCAAATTATTTCTGCACATGTAATGAACACAGCGTTCAGTCCAAATTCCCCGTGGTTCGACATCCGCATGGTTTCACTGGAAGCTTTCACTGAAATAAATAGTTTGCTTTACTCGTTCCCTGCAGCAGCGAAAGCTTCCATCACCTCATCTGAGTCACCTCGAATGTCATTAATTAAAGTTTGGAGAGTGAAAGGCACCCTGGGTTTTCTGATCAGTCACCACTTCTGTGAAATCCTTTCTGAGTCTATTAAAATTGTTTCCTCGAATTCTTGCAAAGTGACTTAGACCATCACCAAAAGGTCAAAACCTGAGACTGTAAAGTGATTTCGGAGCTGTGTATTGAGTGGTGCACTACATCCCAGGGGGCCACGGATCACTACATTTGTTGATCAATCACTGATTAGCCAAGAAAAACAAATAATCTCTGAACTGAGTTGTGTCAGAGCCTGAAGAGAGAACTTCTCCCCAACACCAGTGATCCATGTGAGCGCTCAAGGGCTGGGGGAGGAGGCAGTTTTAGTCAGTGATTCACCTCTGCCTTTCTTTACTCTCTGAGCCCTCTGAAAATACCCAAGGAGCCAAAAAGAAAATACCTCACAGCTGTTCTCTCGGCAGCCAAGCCATTCCTGTGATACTTTTCTTACACAAGCAGGCAGACGGAGGCCCTGCGTCTGAACCGAGCTCCTGACGAGTCTTTGAATCCAACCTTTCCATAAGATAATCTCTGCCTTGTTTTAAACTTCACTTTAAAGCCCTCTTTGCCATTATTCTTGACTCCAGAAATGCTCTTAAAATTGCAGACTTCCTATGGGCCAATAAGAAAGGGATCAGGAGAAAACACAAGGAGGCTGGGGGTTGGAAGTATCACGTATGCCACTGGGAATGTCAGTGTCACGACCTTAGAGGAGAAGGCAAAAAGATCAGTCTCTGGAGCGCTTATCTTGCTCTCCATCTGTAGTAGATTTTGTGACACGAGGAGCACAGAGGGATAGAAACACTTCAGACAACCCCCCCTCCACCTTCACCCCCTCCAAACCTGAAACAAACGCACTCCTCTTGTTTTCTGGCTGTGAGAGAGGCACACAGCATGAATAATTAACAAGGGACAAACAATAACTATCAGCTGTCTATCTGAGAGTTGTCACTTATCTGTGGCTGGAATCAAAACAGAGTTGAGCTCATTTCTCAAGCAAGCAATACTCATTAATCCCACAAACACAATATTAGTTTATGCCTTAGGATACCCTCTAGTCACAGTAATTTGTTGTACTGTAACTTTTTCATTTCTTTCCCCACAAGTGATGGTCTGTATCTTGTCTCATATGTATTAATAAGA